CATCTACTTTCATTTTTCTCTTGAATATCCACTTATATCCAAGAGGTTTACACCCTGATGGAAGATCTACCAGTTCCCAAGTATGATTTTACAGAATTGATTCAATTTCACTATTCACAACCTCTTTCCACAATGGAGCTTCAGGACTTAACATTGTTTTTTTGAAGTTTTAAAGCTCATTTTCTAGCAAGTATGTCAGAAAATCTGGACCAAATGATTTAGAGATCCTAGTCCTCTTGCTACGTCTAGGTTCATCTGCTTCATTATCATTTTGGTTTTCACTACCACCCATAGCAGTATCAAAAGTTCTTTTATTTAAACTTGTCTCGTCAATTTCCTTGTAAGGAAAAATATGTTTGAAAACGACACATTCCTTGACTCAATAATAGTGTTTACGTGCATATCAGGATTTTTAGATCTATGAACTAAAAATCTGTATGCACTACTATTATTTGTATAACCAATGAACACACAATCAATGATCTTTGCTCCTATCCTAGATGTTTTAGGATTAGAGACTGTCACTTTGGCCAAACACCCCCACACTTTAAGGTAATTATAGGTAGGTCATCGACCTTTCCATACTTTATAAGACGTTTGATTGATTTTCTTATAGGGTACCCTGTTAAGGATAAAGTTAGCAGACAAAATCGCCTCCCCCCACAAATTCTGAGGTAACCCTGAACTAATCAACATGGCATTCATCATCTCTTTAAGAGTTCGATTCTTTCTCTCAGCAACTCCATTTGACTGAGGAGAATAGGGTACAGTGGTTTGGTGAATAACACCATGTTCAGAACAAAATTCCTTAAATGGTGCATCATACTCACCACCTCTATCACTCCTCACGACCTTAATAGTTTTAGCAAGTTGATTTTTAACCTTAAGTTTATATTGCTTAAAAATTTCTATGGTTTCATCTTTACTTCTTAATAAGTAAACATAGCAATATCGAGTGCAATCATCAATAAAAATAATAAAATACTTTTTACCTCCTCTAGTTTGAACAAATTTTAAATCACAGATATCTGTGTGAATTAGACTTAGAGGTTCGGTACTTCTTTCTACTTTATTAAATGATGCTTTAGTGAGTTTTACCTCAACACAAATCTCACATTTATGATTAGGATCAAATTCTAAGTTTGGTAAACATTCTAAAGAAACAAGTCTACGCAAAGACTTAAAATTAACATATCTTAATCTACCATGCTATAAAAAAGAAGACTCAGCAATATAAACAGAAGATATGTTTTTATTATTAATAGCCAAATTTGGTACAACAATTAATACATTAAGCTTAAAAAGCCCATCACTTATGTAACCTCGCCCCACATATATTCCATTCTTGGAGAGTACAACCTTGTCAGATTCAAAGACTAATTAAAACCTGTTCTTGATCAACAATGACCCAGAAATCAAATTATTGCGAATCTTCGACACATTGAGTACATTGTTAAGAGTGAGTTCTTTTCCCGAGGTCATTTTCAGCACAATCTTTCATTGTCCTTCTACAGTTGATATGAAGAAGTTTCTCATAAAAAGTTGTTTCCCACTTTCCACCACTTTGTAGGTTGTGAACATTTTCTTATCTGCACAGATATGGCCAATTGCTCCAGTATCCACCCACTACTTCTTGGAATGGCCCACTAAATTTGCCTCAGAGACTACTACATCAAGATTGATACCTGTCACTCCATCGGAAAGATAAAAATCCTCGGCTATGTTGGCTTTTGCTGGCTTTTTGCTTGAACTCCCTTCATCCTTGCAAACGCGACAATCCTTAGCACGATGTCCATCTTTGTCGCACACAAAACACTTGCCTTTGAACCTCTTGTTGAACTCGTTATTGATCCCTTTGTTGATCTTACTAGTGGATCCTTATTTGGGACCATTGCCATCATGCTTTCGTTTCTTGTTGTTGAACTTTGACCCTTGTCCATGTTCCACAACATTTGATTTAGCCTGCATGACATGGTTTCTTGATTTCTTGTCGGAACCACAGTTGTCCTCCTCAATTCTAAGTCGCACTATTAGTTCCTCTAATTTCATCTCCTTGCACTTATACTTTAGATAATTCTTAAATTCTTTCTAGAATTGTGGCAATTTCTCGATGATTGTCGCTATTTGGAAAGATTCACTAAGAACCATCCCTTCCGCATGTATGTCATGAAGAATTAATTAGAGATCTTGAACCTGGCTAATAACCGTCTTGGAATCTATCATTTTAAAATCCAAAAAATGGCCGACAACATATTTCTTTGTACCGGCATCCTCTATCTTATATTTATGATCTAGAGATTTCCATAGTTCTTTTGTAGTGCTTTCGACACTATACACATTGTACAGTGTATTGTCCAACCTATTGAGGATATAATTCCTATACAGAAAATCATCATGTTTCCATGCATCAACTGCGGCAACCACTTGCCGGTCAGTTTCTCCCTCATTTAGTGCCGAAGCTTTTTCATGAGTAAAGTGAGCCAAATTCAATGTTGTAAGATAAAACATCATCTTTTGTTGCCATCTTTTAAAATCATTTCCATTGAATTTTTCTAGCTTCTCCCTATGATTTACTAGTACTGCTGGAGTCATTACTGGCACAACAGGTGTGGGGGCCGGAGTACGAATAGTCTCAGTACTGTTTGTTTTAGTATTCATATTTCTGACCAAATAATAATGCACCAATCACAAATTTATATAGAAAAGAATTTATACACAAAATATACAGAATAATATTTTATAACAAAATTCCAATGATAAATAGTATATGACTACTATGTTATCAAAGAAATTCTTAAACAGTATATTACTACTATTTAAGAAATTAAACAGTATATGACTACTATTTAATTTCTCAAAACAAAATATTCGTCTGCCTAACACACAAAAAAAAAAAAAATAGAAATCTACTTTAAGATTATTATTCCCCAATGGTTGTGTGTGTAAATTAAATGACTAAATAAAATAAACGACTAAATAAAATAAACAATCCAGAAAATAATTTAATAAATTAATTTCAGAATTAAATGTTTACAGAATTTATAAGTCGAGACTTTTGTTGAACACTATTTCCTTAAAGTAGATTTCACTATCGCCCTGGTGCTTCGAGATTTACCGGTGTCTACTTCTCAGGATGCAAACTTGATTTGCAGCACTACAAAATCAAGTCTGGCGAACTAAAGCTTTGTTGTAACTCTCTCTTTTTCTTCGTAAAGATTAAATAATGGATAGATGTAGAAGACAAGAGAACGACTAGAAGGGAAAAAAAAGAAATGCTCTGAAAAATTGGATCCAAAGAATTACTGGAATGACAGACTATTTATAGAAAATTGGTGGCTTTTCTGAACAGGTGTTAACAGATAGAAAAACATGTTCGGACAGATTCAACAGGTACAAAAACCTGTTCGAGTGAATTCAACAGGTGGAAAACCTGCTTGGATGGAATTTCAACAAATAGAAAACCTGTTCGAATAAAGGAAAATCTATTTGGGTGGAGGAAAAAATATTTTGAAACCAAAATTAAAAAAATAAGTAAATAAAATACAAATGTTTTTAGCCCAAAAAGATAAATGTTGGGTTGGACAAGCCCAACCTCACACGCAAGCCCTCCCGATCGGACGGACGGACGGCGACGCGAACGTGTGATTTTTGTTTTGGGTCAAATGGATCTAACCCACTTTACCTATATTGGGTCGGACAAGCCCAACCTAACCTCACACATGCGCCCAAGCCTAGTCAAACTCACCTGACCGAACAGCGGCGGTCGCGTGCATATGATTTTTATTTTGGGTCCAATGGGTTTACCCTACTTTACCCATAATCTCACCCTTCTACAAACTTGGGTACCCCTTGGGGCCCATCCCAAGTATCACAAACTAGAGTTTATATACCCATATAAATCCTTAAACCTTTCTAATGTGGGACAATCACATTTCACAAATGTGTAGAAAACCCACTTAAAGCCATATCCATGAACCTAAAAATGTGCATTGAATTCACATTCATCCGGAAATGGTTTTGAACAACCAAATACACGATATTATTCACTATGTGGCATTAAATATGAACCCAATTAAAAACGTTAAAAATAAGGTTTGGGTCCTACCTTAATTAATGTTCAAAGTTAACAAAAAATAAGATTTTACAAAGCCATTTTCCAACACATAATGGGTCTATACGTTTGGCAATGTATGTAAAAATGTTTCAATTTTGTTCAATAGTGGTTGTCTGTGCGATTTGGTTTTTGTTTGGCAGTGGGGCTCCAGACTGTTTAGTTTTGTTCAGTTCTGATTTATCAAGCAAAAATCGAACAACCATCTCCAGATTCAATTCGAAAATGTTAAAAGACAATTTAAAATAAAAACTCATTATTTTGTTTTTCAACGGGTCATTTATCATCATTTTTTCATTCATTAACTTTTTTTATGATTAAAATATTATGATTCACAATTTTGTAAGGAGATGTGCAATAGAGAAGATTAAATGAGAAAAAAGAAGAAGAAGAAGATAAATAGGATTGTGAAGGTGGTGGTTAGGTGGTAGGGCGGCTTCAAGGGCGATTGAAAGTTGCAAGGTGGTGGTTGGAGGTGATAGAATAGGTAGCATTTGAAGATAGAGTGTAAGGCGAAGTTGAAGATTAGAGATGCAAGTAGAAATGAAATTATAAAGCGTGCAAAGAGATATAAATAATTTTTGAATAAAGTGTAAATAAAAAATTAGTGTAATAAGGTAGAATGATAGTAAAATTATCCATATTTTAATCTAAAATCACAAAGGAACTCGTAAGAAGAGTAAAGGGCAAATAAACTAAAGAATAAAGTAGATTTTATCATAATATGGGGGATAAAAAAAAATCTTGGGTCATTTTGGAATTCTCAGTTTTATGGGGTTGAGTCCATTACTTTACTTTCATCCACAAGAAATTGAGCCACCTCAAAAACCTCACATTCTTGAAAGGGTTATCCAAATTTAGATAAATACCAACACAACACTAGAAAAATTAGAAGCCCTATACATAAAATAAAAAATAAAATAAAATCATAGAAAGCCTGTGTGAGTCTCTTGCTCAACAAATAAAGGCCACATTCTTCCCATTCCCACAAAAGAGGAGAGAGAGAGAGAGAGGGAGGGGGAGAGATAGAGAGGGAAGTAAAAATGTCAGTGGAGAAGTGTTTTCAAGTAAGCACAGTGTTTGCAGGGAGAGGAGGGGGTGTTGTACAGCATCCATTTTATACAAAGGAAAAGATTCATTTGCCAACTTCATCATGCAAAGGAGGACCTTCCACTCCTCCTAAGGTTTCCAATAGTATTGTATCATTGTCTTCTTCCTCACACTCTGGTTTCGCTCCATCTTTCAATCGCAGATGTCGCAGTTCGCGCATCATCTGCAAGGCCCGCGAAGCTGTGGAAGGTAATCTCCTTTCTCGAGAATTTCAATTGTTGGGTAATTATTCATGGCACCATTTGAAAAGCTAGTAAAAAATCAGTTTTTTAGTTTTTTTATTTTTTTGGTTATATTACCTTTTTATTTTTTCACATAAAAAACTAAAAAAGTCACAGAGAAAAATTTTAAAAATTAATTTTTTATCAATTTCTTAAAACGCCGCAAGAGTAGCATGTGATTTTATTGAACGTGACGTAATAAAAGATAATTTATTCAATAATTTCTGCTATTAAGATACTAATTTTTTGATTTTTAAGTCAAAATTATTTCTTGCAAAACGAGGCAGTTCCGCATTGTTTGTCTATCTTTCTTTTTTGAATGTCACAAAATATTTGTTTATTCAGAAAAGTCAAAACATAAAACTCCAAAAAATTTTAAAACTACCCTTTAAAAGTAATTATAAATATATTGAATATTGAAAATAAAAGAGGCATAATGATTAATTAATATATTTTGATTTGATTTCATAGCAATAATTTCATATTCTATTAAAAAGTTAGAATCTAAAAAGACTATTATTATGGGACGAAAGAAGTATAAAGATAACTCTCCTAATTGGATTAATTGGGGGAGATATATATAAATTAAAAAAACAATAAAAATTCATAATTTGAGTTTTACAATTCACTAATAATAATAGGATAAGAAAATTAAGTTGACACGTACGTACTAGGTTAGTAAAATTGTGATTTTTAATTATTTTTCATGGGTTATTATTCGTCTGATGAATGACGTTATGAAAAATTTGAAGTATGATACATTGTTAGACTCGTTTCTATTAAATAGTTGAAAGATAACGGGTGATTCGCCTATTGTGTTTTTTTAGATCTTAGTCGTGAGTTTTAATTATTTTTCATGGGATATTGTTCATGTAACTAATGACATTGTGAAAAATTTTAAGTGTGATACAATGGTAAATTTGTTTTTGTTGGATAGTTGAAAGAAAAAAAAGGATGATTTGCCTATTGTGTTTTTTTAGATCTTCATTGGTACTACCAAATTATTTAATAATTTTTTAATTAGAAAATTTTTACAGAAGTAAGTGATTCTCTCAAGTATGTTATGTTATGTGGTTGGTTTTTATTTGTCAGTAGCACTGACATGTCAAGACAGTCTAGTTTGCTGCATGGCCTATTTCATGCACTATATTTGTATGGTTAGTATTATCTGTTTTCAGTGTGTATCTATTTTTTTGAGAAATACAATAAATAAATAAATAAAATTTGATGAAATATTTATGAAAAAAAGGGGTCAAAATAACTCACTTGAGAAAACACAACAAATTATTTTTGAAATTCAAAAGCTATCTAACACCCAAAAAAAAAAAAAAATGAATAGAATATGACATTGAAAACAAAACAAAAGGGGCTAGTTTGTGACATTTTCACACTGTTGGTAAGAATCGAAGAAACCGTGATCAGAAGCAGTGCTTCTCAAAATTTCCCCCAGGAAAAATAAAAGTATTGTGAAAATGTTCATTTGTCACCATCTTGATGAACTCAAATGCTCTGTCAAAATCTGCAGTTCAAGTGGTGACAGATTCAAGCTGGAAAAACCTTGTCATAGCAAGCGAAAGCCCGGTACTGGTTGAATTCTGGGCACCATGGTGCGGACCGTGCAGGATGATAGCACCGGTGGTGGATGAATTGGCGAAAGAGTACGCGGGGAAAATCCTATGCTACAAGCTCAACACCGATGACTGCCCAAGCATCGCGACGGAGTACGGGATAAGGAGTATCCCAACAGTGTTGTTCTTCAAGAATGGGGAGAGAAAAGAGAGCATCATTGGTGCTGTGCCCAAGTCCACACTCACTGCTACTATTGAGAAGTATTTGGAGATCTAAACAGGGATTGCTCCGTTTGTGTCCATAATATGTTGCTTGTATTCAGAAATTCTTCATTTTGTAAATTGTAATATGTTGTTACGCAGTGCCAAATATATGGGGAGATTGTTTCTGACTTGAACCAAAACCACCATTTTTCAAAAGATTGTTTCCGACCTGAACCAAAACCACCAAAATGCTACTAGGAAGCCTTACAATTGGCCCAAACCGCTTGTTGGATTGGGTTTTAAGCACATGATGCACATTATCCTAGTCCAAGGCATATACTGACCATTAAAAATTTCACAAGCCAAGTCTGCTTTATGGATTAAATATGAATGCAAATTCTCCCAATAAATTCAAAACATTGACCCAGACCTTGGAATTTTTTGAATTTTTTTGTTCAAACAAAAAAAAGACCCTGGAATTTTGCTGCAATACAATGCTGAATTCAAATGCAACTAAACAAGCATATTGAAAAAAGTAAGAAATTAAACCAATAAACATCAAAATTAAACCACTGAAAATCAACTCTAGGAGCTGTAGAAAGTTCTACATTAAACCTTTTACCAAACCAACCTTAGAATATATACACTCATGTTGAGAAAGAGAACAGGAAAGCGATACTCGCAAATACTCTAGTTTACAAATGGCTCAGAAGAAGGAACACAGGAGTAGATATCAAGAGAGCTCCACCACGCAATAAGTCACTTCCCGAATTCCCATTCCGAGGCTGTTAGTTGAAATATAAGCAGCTGTGTTGAATATTAAAATCAGGGAAAATAAAGTTAGAAGAAAATGAAAACACTTACGATGATATAATATATTTCAATGATAGAACACTACACTATATATTTCCCTTTTCCGAAATTAGCTCAGAGGGAAGCCCCGAAACCAATTCATCATACTGCTATATCTTCACTGGGCCAAAGGTATTCCACAGTTTCCCGTGCTGCTCAGGCAGCTGTTATCAAGGACCAGAATATCACTTGAATCCAAAGAACGTTTCATGGAGTTGATTTCCAATCAAATTGGGGATTATTGAACCCATTAACAGCTCCAAGACCACTAAGCAGCTGGTCCCCCAAAGCCTGTTGTTGATGATTCAAGTTTGGGTCCCGAGCCATTGTAGTCATGCCTACCCTTCCATTCATTGTCATGGAATTATTTCCCATAGCAGCTCGGATTCCATTAATCATGGCTGATTGACCAAGCCCGCTACCCATGTTCCCAAATCCTCCACCCCCAATTCCTGCATTGTTGTTGGCAATTCCATTACTCACCAGACCATTGCCACCATTAAGACCCATACTATTGCCTGTTGGCAATATTCCATTGACATTTTTCACGTCGTTCAGATGTGAAGACATAATCATTTCATGTATTATTTTCTGAACAGAACTCTGGGAATCATTTGGGTCGGCATCACCAGATAGAGCCGATTGTTGCATGGAGATATTTGGTGAATTTGCAGAACTCATATGAGCTCCTGCTGCTGCTAAGCCACCGTGTGAAGTTTGAGGAGCATTGTTAGATGAGGAAGGTGTTGGTGATTGGAATGGAGAAGAATTGAGTTGAGCTTGTGGTATCGTACTTGATGAACCAGGAGAGGGAATCGGCATAGTGCCGCTTCCTCCATAGAGACTATTTGCATTGTTCATAGGGTTTTGCTGTCTGGAGTTCATTGAGCTCTGATGGAGGAGCCCAACAATGGCGCTAGTGGAGGGAGTGTTCGATGCTGAGTTGAGAGAGTTATTTACACCATTGCTAGAAGCTGCATGCATCACGGTGTCCTGGATGGAGCTTTGATCATTGTTTGAGTTCTGAACCATTGTTTGCTGCTGTGGTGGTGGTTGTTGTTCCTCCATTTGTTGAGTTTGACCGCTAAACCCAGATGTAGCACTTGTCCTCCGAGGGAACTTGGCCAGGCTCTCTGAGAAGAAGACACGAGAAAAATGAGACACGGGTCTATTTCCATTTCTTTTCTTTTTTCACCCCTCAAAACAATTCAGCTTAAATGAAATAATACTCTCTGGAACTGTCCCAAGCACAAGGCATGAGCCATAAAAGTTGTCAAACCGGTTGTAACGAGCCAACATGTATAAGGATCAGCCAATCATCTACCATGATTGTTCTGCTTCCATAAATCACTCCAATACTTTGGTCACACCCTTGTTACTTATGTGTGGCATCAAGGGAAGCTAGCAACTGCTCAGTTCTCTCAAGGGCAAAAGTACACGCTCATGCAAATCTAGGGGGAATTGAAGATGGCTGAAGCACATAGGTTTGGACACATTTTGCCAATCAAAGGCAATTGCTTGCCTTTCTGAGTTGTCACTCTCTAAACATTTCATGTTTTCTTGAGTCTACAACTCATCGCCATACTAGTACTTTATCTTTTTCATTTTTTGTTTTGTTTTGGGATGAGTACACCATACTAGCATTGAACTACCAAAAGTAGTCATCCCAAAAACGATGAGAACAACAATTGTCTATGCAATTGAAAATTTGTCTAACAAACTTCAGTCTCCAAAAAAAATAAGCAGGCTAACAAATTCATCATTATGTTGTAAGTTGTAACCAACATCGTTTATTCCATGTAAAAGAAAATACCAAGAAATTGTTCAAGAACTCTCCTAGTGTACCCTCAAAGGTATTATTTTTTTAGCCAAAGTTGTTTCGTGACTTCTGTCAAAAATAAGGTTTCTGGCTCTCAAAAAAGAACAAAAACATCTAATATTATCCATATAATGTTTCTTTCTAAAGTGTATATTAGCCCTGCAACCCATTTATCTTGCACTAAACATCAGCTCAACTAAACCAAAGGTAAAACGAAGTGGCACAAATTTTCCAGTTCCAGTTCCAGTTCCATAATCTACTTTTCTAACATGCCTCTATCAGCCTTCGAAATTTACTAAAAATTGGGATCAGTTCTCATGAATAAAATGTCACACTTACCCATAGGCCCGGTCCTAGTTTCTCGGCTGTAATCAATCAAATCTTTCATGCTATTGACCACTTCAGATATCTGTAACATACCCAGAAAACAGAAAACTGAAGTTATCAATCAGGCAGCACACAACACTTAGAAACATTGTTTGGTAAGTGAAACCCAAGAATCATCATCTCATTTGACAAATCTTAATACAACATTCATTGGTCACTACAATGTCTAATTAAAAAGCAATAAAACCAAACATCAGATTAATGGGTTTGTTTAAAATGGCCTCTACAAGTTAAAACATTGGAGGCACAATTAAGAGTCTATGGTCATGAAATGTGCATACTTACAAAAGCACCCAATTTGGCAAAATAGTTTCCAACTTTTTTGCATACCGCTTCTGCAATTTTTGTTTTCAGCACAGTTAATCCTTGAACGTATTCCATACTGAAGTTTGGTGATGGAAAACTTCAACTAAGTGCTTTGATCAGACAGACAAATTCTACATTGAGTGAAGGTAAAACTCATGCATTGCAAAAGCATCATTTAGAGAGTTTTATATAGGATAGTCTATTTGGGCTAGTTCTTATCGAGTTCAGTTCACTACCTTAGATAATTTACTTTTAGACTATAAGACTAAATTAATTAATGGGCTTGACCTATAGGATCCAATAGATTTGCTTTTTGGACTCAGTTCATTGGTCTGATTCAAATTTAGGTTTGGAACAACACTTTACACATTCAAATGCACACGGTTTTTTGGTTTTTGGAATTTTTTTCCAGTGCATTCTGATTAGAATGCATGGTTGCACGTGTTTTGATTTTTTTCTTATTAACCATGACCAGTGTGTGCACCATTCAAATGTGTGTCCTTTGATGCATGACTCCAATGCGTTTCCGGAGCAGAATCTTTGTGGTTATAGTTTCCTTATTTACCAAGGATTTCCTATTACAATATATTGTTGCTTTGACTTTTTGGTTGGGGTCCCAATAGCATACTGAGCATACATGATATATAAACATAACATTGTATCCTTATTGTATTTGTATCCTATATGTTTAGAACTTTTCATAACAATGTATGCGTATCCCATGTCATATCCATTATAAATAGAGTAATTGCTTAGACCTGCAGTAATTGCCACTTCAAGTGTTCAAAGAATCCACTGGAAAAGTATTTCAAGGGAGGGGGTGAAATAAGGTTGGGTGCAAGATAATAATGATCAGACAAGGATTCCTCAGTGCTCAACAGAGGGCACACCATGCAGTCAAAGTTGGCAGGGAGACAATACAGAATATAACTACATACATGAGAAACAAATAAATGTTTCCATTTTCAGTGACATTGAGGTGTCAAAGAATCAGCCTTCTTGGAAGGTACTGGAACAAGGTAGATTTTTTTCACAATAAACTTAGCAGCCGACCGAGGTGCAAAATTGCCCCTAACTTGATAACAAATCATCTAAATCAGACAACAGACATGGAAGGCAATGAATTGTATTCAGCAGAGTTGCGGAAATCAAACATTTTCAATACAAAACTACGCAGAATTGCTAACAGCAACAGCATGGTACATTTCAGAATATAAGGTTATATAAAAAAAAAAAATTAAATGTACCCTGCGACCAGGCAACTGTCAGGTACAGAAGACATTGCATTCAACCCCCGAGTTAAGGACCAAAGTGGAAAGAGAAGAACAAAATGCTTTACCTGAAGGCAGCGCACATATCTCTTTGTATAGCCTAAATCATTTACTAATGGAACTTCCAATGCTTTTGCCAACTGACGAGCAGATACAACAAACCTGAAACGGAATTAAATGTTAAAAAGTCTCAATAAATCAGACATGAAACACCATAAATGAGGCACAAGATGTTAATCACCCACTATACTAATTCATGCGTCATCCAATATCTACTAATTCACAGATCAACCAGATTGGGACCTCATTTCGATATTCAGAATATGGATGAACACTACACGAGAATTTGCAGTCCCCACTGGGAAGAGAGAGGTGGATTATGTGGGGGCGGACACCAAAAGTAACATGCACACCTTAAATGCTATAAAATTCTAATAGTTATGAATAGCATTATTCATTTATGACTAACTTCCCTCCAGCCACCTCACTTATCGTACTAATTGAGTGCAGAAATATGAGTCATTTGCATAATGAAAATAAAGTAAGCTTCAATTCGAGATGTAACATTCCACTTATCCAAAAATAAATAAAAAAGGAGAAGCAACATTCCATACCCTAGCGATTGACGCCAGGTAAAATGTAAATTACTAGCAACTTGTACAAAAACAGCATTTGCAACACTTTTTCCATCTTTCCGAAATTAGTGAATTTTGCATTTTTCCCTACTTAAATTTCATTACTACAATGATGACATGTGAGTTTTCCATATTTTCTCATTTTTGCCATTCAAGAAATTCATAATTATTTTACACCATGTTTTCTTTTGTAATTATTTTGTTTCACTTTTATCCTGCTTATCCAAAAGATCTACTTCTATGGCCCCGTTTGGTAGAGCTGTGGGAAAGTAATTATAACTTATAGCCTAACAGCTTATAGCTTATAGCCAAGGTTTTAAAAAGCGGCCGCAACCGTTACGTAATGCCGTTACGCAACGGTTTTGGTAGTTGCCGCCACCCGTTACAGCCGCTTTTGCAGTATGATTGAGATTCACAGGTGTGTCGACTGTAACGGCTGCCGTAGCGGTCGTAACAGTACCGTAATAGTCGTAAACGGCCTGTTACGCACCGTTACGTAACAGTTCCAAACTGTTTCTTTCGAAAAAACACACAAAAAAGCTAAAAATGGTAGAAGAGGGATAGAGAGAAGTGGTAAGATAAAGAGAGAAGATGGAGGAGTAAGAGATAGAGAGAGAAGAGGGAAGATGAAGAACATATTATTGATTTGTTGAAACTGTAAAACCTATGCTATTCTATTCAGCTGCTATCACTCAACCATTTTGTTTATGTGTGTCTATCTATATATTGTTTGATGATAATAATAATAATAATAATAATAATAATAATAATAAATGTGGTCATTATCTATTTGGCTTGGTTAAAATATATATGTATATATATATATATATTTAGGCTCTTATTTATTCTCTTACTTTTGTCATTGTTTATTTTATATATAATAATTAATGATGGATTTTTTGTATAATATAAAGTCATCAATTATTAAAATAAAATGTAAAAAACTCAGTTTATAGTGATTTAAAAATATAAAATATATTGGATCATACTTAAAAATTTACAAAAATTGATCAATATTTATTTTAAACCCAATAAATATGATCATGGAAAAAAAATATGCGTATCGGTAAGCTTTTTTTAAATTGTGCTAAAAATAAAAAAATTCACTGTTCCGGTTACCGCAACCATTACACTACGACCTTTACACCCCGCGACCGCAACCGCTTTTCAGAATCTTGCTTATAGCTGTGAACATAAGCTGATTTTTGACTTATAAATTAAGCTTCTCCTCCCCCACTCAAAGAATAAGTTGATTTTTGACTTACAAAAAGCTATAACCTGTATTGTTAAGCTGAACCAAACACATCAAAATAGCTTAAATTAAGCTAAAAGCTGAAATAAGCTAGAAACAAACCCTACCAAACAGGGCCTATACCTTGATAAACAAATACTTTAGTTCCATTTCTACCATTTATGTTATCCAATAATAACTATTACATATTATTCATTTTCGATCTTCAGAATAGGTAACAACTGTACAGTCTGTATTTCTATTAATAGTATAGTTATTTTATACCATGTTTATTCTTCAACTTATATATCATAATTATGACATCATGTTGAGTTTTAAGAGACTGTATTCACCTTCTTCTCCACTGCATAAAACCAAGGCCAAATGCTTTACTGCAACGATATCTCCTTTCAGAATGTAACTATTATTTATGAAGTGGTACAATAATATTTTCCTAGTGCCATCATTTGGGATTTATTCTAGTCTTCGTCTAGGTATTACAATTTTCTTTTGACTTCTAGGTAACTAGCGTGCTACCCACACCTAGGCCAAAGAAGTCAAACCCATACTTCCTCCAAAAAGGCAACCATTTTCATCATAGTTAATTCAAGTTGTGAAGATCTTTGTCCAAAATTTAATATAGTATTGTGCAATTAAGTTAATTTATTAGTCTTTATTGTAATATACAATTATAAAAATGAAGTTTCTTGTAAACTTATACTAAAATAAAAAATATGAACTTCCCTTAGTCATTTTCAATACAGTAGAATTCAATAACCAAAGGAAATAACAGCTCCAAAGAAGAGGCATTTGTATGATATGAGGTAATACAGGGATAGAGAACTCACATATTACAGTTATTTTGTAACTCTGCCACTGACAAATTGGATGATGCATTCTGAGTAGCAGCCTGGTACTTTTGAGCGGCAGCCCCAAGCTGACTAACCTGCAGAGCACAATCTACAACAGTTAAAAATAAATTGCACAAGACAATAGGCAAGAATGGAATTCTCGTCCTGTCATATACTACACAACATCCAGCAGAAACATAAAACTTTAGTCTCTCAAAAGAATTACTTGTGCAGTTGTGTATCAAATACAAAAGAGGTGACCTAGACCACCCATGAAAGTAAACTAGGCCAGAGAAACTAAGTGCATCCAAATATAAGTTATAACTAGAAAGAAAATACCTAACCAAATTCTATAATCAGAAAGCCCCACATATATGAATGGAATCCAATCCAACAGGAAATCATAACCCAATAAATTAACTTAATTGCACAATGCTATATGAAATTTAATATACCTTCAAGCCCCCATTAAGTTGCTTTTAATAGAGCATTGTCCGAAATATAAAATTAATTAACTTAATTGCACAATGCTATATTAAACTTAATATACCTTCAAGCCCCAATCAAGTTGCTTTTTAATATAGCATTGTCCAAAATTTAATATATCGTTGATTTCATAAAACAAATTGAGGCCAAGTTTGGGAAGTGTAAAAAAAGCCAAAAAGTAACTAAAAAAGTTAAAAAGTTATCACTATTCACCAAAAGTCAAAAATTACGGCTGCACAACTCTCAATCCTAATTTTTCCCTACGCACTAATTTATATAATTTTTTAATACACATTTTTCCATAAAAAGTCAAAAAGTTAACCCAAACATCCATATTTTTTCCCTCAACTTTTTAGTCCAAAAAGACAAAAAGTGCACTTATTTAGGACACCCCAAACAACCCCTGATATACACTTTCAATTTTAAAGCAACAGAAGCCAGCCACAGGGGATCAAGGTCCAAATGATTAAACTCTTGTTTACTTAGGCCCCGTTTGGTAGAGCTGTGGGAAAGTGATTATAACTTATAACCTAACAGCTTATAGCTGTGAACATAAGTTGATTTTTGACTTATAAATTAAGCTTCTCCTCCCCCACTCAAATAATAAGTTAATTTTTTACTTACAAAAAGTTATAAGTTGTATTGTTAAGCTGAACCAAACATATCAAAATAGCTTAAATTAAGCTATAAGCTGGAAATAAACCCTACCAAACAGGGCCTTAGACTAGCAGGGTTCAATATGCGGGGTGATGGTAAGAGCTATCTACACTCAGCATTGTGGTGCAGGTTCGATTCACCAGAATTATCTACACAAAAAGGCGGGGATGGCTGTCTAGCTTTACCTCCCCCAGGCCCTGCTGTAAGTGAGAGCTTTGCGCATAAGGTACAACATTTTTTTGGGGTAAATAACAGAGACTTCCCTTGAGGTTGGGAGAAATTACAGTGATTGCACATGCCACCCTTGAATTCCAAATTGCATAACATTTTGTCCCGCTCTGTTAGAAGACTTAGGCCAGGTTTGGCATCTACTAAATAATACAAAAAGTCAAAAAATCACTATCTTATTTAAATCACATCATCTTATTTAAATCACATCCCATCAAACCCAACCCAAACCAACCCATATAAGCCAATAAGTCAAAAAGTGCACTTTTTTAGAACATCCCAAACCAACCCTTACAATTTTTTAACTGTAATGCTATGTTTATAGATTTCTAATTTTTCCCTTACACTAACTATTCTTAACAATTTCAAATTGCATAAACATTTTGCCCCCACTCAGGTAGATGACTTGACAATTTTTTTTATTTGTAACACTATGTTATTTAATAGACGTCTAATTTTACCCTTACACTAATTACTCTTAAACAAATTTTAAACGGGTTAACGGATGAGACAAGAATACTTGTGTTGTCTATCCCTGACAACTGTTTTTTAGATATTATTTAATCAATTTAGTTGATTTTGATACAAAATAGTCTTTCGGAAGATAAAAACACAAGGATAAAAATGTAATTTAATAATCAAACTAAACACCATTAATATATCTGCTAATGGAAAGGAGGTGAGTGTAATTATGCCAAAACTGTGGCTCACTATATTTTCCCCAAAACTCAAGGATGGTTAGTGTAATTTACCTTTTTTTAATACTAGCTAGTGGCAGGTGTGATGCATGCTATAGGCACTAAATATATCCAATAAAAACACAAAATTGATATTAACATATACAAAATAGTTATTTAATATGAAGTAGACATGTATGTCTAATGTTATTACTGTAATTGACGGGCGACACAAAGGCAAAAGAGTAATATTTATCGATTCATAATTGTCGCAATTCTACAAGTACAGGTGAATACGCAAACTAAATCTTTGGTGCCTAATGAAGATGAATGTCTATCTCAATAGCATAGAAACAAATATGTCGCCCAAACACAAGAAGTCAGACACAGTGAAACAATCCTTAAAAAAGTAGGGCATGAACACATCAAAAACATGATACAGTATATTTATAATGTACATCTTAATGTTTATGTTATTTGAGGAATATGTAGTATTACATTTGGTATATAAACATTTTGTCTTTTCAACTATGGAATAAGGAAATTGAAGCTCCACAAAATATCATGAATATAATGAATGTCCTTATTATTATTTTAATCTTTTATTATAATTTCCTTTACCTATATTAGATGTGTTCATTGCATATTTTGTGTCAATCATGTATATGATATCTTGTTTTAGAAATAAATTAATACACATTCAGGTCATTTGAGTCGCAAGGCCAATGATGTCAGAAATTGCTCCAACTAGTCAGCCTTAGGCCTCGTTTGGCAAGAGGCTATTTTAGCCAATTAGCCAAAAAATAAGCTATTTTAGTAACTTTTTGGCTTTTTACGAAAAGATGTGCAGAAAAGTAGAGAGGTGATGTGACAACTTTTAGTAACTTTTTGGCGTTTTGGCTAAAATAGCCACTCCCCAAACGAGGCCTAAATTAGCCAAAAAGCCAACAACCCATACCAAAAAGTCAAAGATTCTCTTTTCTCTCTACTTTTTGCACATTTTTTCGTAATAAAAGTCAAAGATTCTCTTTTCTCTCTACTTTTTGCACATTTTTTCGTAATTAGCCAAAAAGTCATCCCAAACATACAAGTTTTTTTGACATACCTTTTTAGCCAAATAGCCAAAAAGTTACTAAATTAGCCTGTTCCCAAACGAGGCCTTAGTATTAGTAGTCCAAAGGAAAGGTGGTGTTGGCAAGTAAATGAAAAGTGTCGTTTGAGCTTCCATAATTCTGAAAATTCACTTCCAAATTATTATGTCCAAGAAATTCTGGAAGCGTTTCATCAAGTGTCTGAGAAATGTCAATATTAGACATAACATAATGCAGCTACCCCCCCGCAAAAAAAAAAAGTGTCCATGTGAATAGGGTGTTTATAGTCAAACAACATCTTTGTAATTAAATGGAAAATTGTGAGCAAAATATAAGGACAAGTGAAATAGTTATGGGCTAACAAGGAAAATAAAAAATCCGTTTAATAGGAGAAAAAAGTGAAGTCATTTTTACTTATAGAATGTCTAGGGGTTGTTTTGGGAATCGGCTGTTTTAGTAGTTTCTGACTTCTTCGGAAAGGACGTGCAAAAAAGTAGAGAGCAGAGTTAACCTTTTTATAGTGGCTTTTTGTCTAAAACTTCATGTTTCCAAAATAGGTAACTATACTTTTTGGCTAAATCAGTAATTGTAAGTCGGTAACTAAAGAAGCAAAGAACAAAAATTTCCAACCAGTCCAATACCTTTTTTTTGATAAGTTAACCGTAAGTCCAATGCTTAGAAGCATGGTATATATATATATTGCAGGGAAAAGCCAAAAGAAAAAGAAAAAGAAAAAAAAAAGAAAAGGAGAGAGTAAACCAGTATGATGTCATTTTATAAACTGAATTTAAATCAATAACCTGAGGAATTAACAATCTTCGAGGGATGAGCTCTTCATGACGCCGAGCACAGAACTCCCAAGAGCATATCTAGCAGTGGAACAGAAGAAGGAACAGAAAAAAGTAAGTAACTGACGCATCTATAAGTTCAAAATTCTTGAAAACAACATCAATATGTAACCTTCAGGTCTGGAGAAAAAACTATCCGAAGTTGACCATCCCTGACAACACGAAGTTGGTCAAAAACGCTTTCCTGTATGGCTTTCGCATAGTCCAGGACAATTTGGCCAGAGGAGTTCTGATATTCCCGGGGCATATCAACATAAAGAAGTTCTTCCAAAGTTCCACTCTCATACTTGATTTTGAAAAGCCTTGGCAGAACCTCAGCAGTAGCCTCTGCAAATAAACAGATTTTAGATACTGGCAAAGAAATACAAAAATTAACAAAATGCCAAACATAAAGCAAGAAGTAAAAGGAGCACTGAGCTAAAAATCACAGTTGCAATGGATCTAAAAGCAATGGGGAAATATAAACAGAAGACCAATTTGAAGCATCTACAGGATGGGCTGCTACAATTGTTTCTATATGACAACACTTTCTAAAGCCCAGAAAACAAAACTTACCAAATCCACGGCCAGGTTTACGATTACATATTTCGCAGTGCCATACATCCTGCAGAATTGCAAAAAATAATTATTGTGTTTACACCAACGTTTATCATTGAAAGGCAATCTAAAAATCCAAAAGTTCACAAACTTCTAAAATAGTATTAAGCTGATATTCAAATTACCAACTAATATTTGGTTAACTAAGTAGGGTATCCCAAATATTAGCATAATTCTACCAGGGGTTCTCAATGAGCACACCTGTGGGAAAACTCCATTTGTTTGGCGCCCAATTCCATACATAGAAACACACCACTTCTTCTTTGCATTGGGAGCAAAGAATTCAACAACAAATTTTCTCCAAAACTCAATATTGTTGTCCTGCGTGAAAAGTTATCATAATCATAACATGAAATGGTAGCACAATATCTAATTGAGAGATAGATTCTTTTCAGGATGGAAATCCCACCTCAGGTCTGTGTTGCTGCTCATACATATAACGTGTCAGCCGCCGCGCACACGTCCCAGGTTCATATACCGGTTTTATTACAGGGGACCTCAGAGGCATATTTTGCGGTTGAAACGACGGTTGTGATTGGGATCGTTGTAGAGGAACAGCCTTCAAGGCAAGCTGTTGCTGCTGCTGCTGTTGTTGAATCTGCAAGAGTCTCTGCTGATTCATAAGATTAATCTGAGCAGCAGCAACTTGAGGAGACTGTCGGGACATGTGGAGAAATTGTTGCTGTTGCTGCTGTTGATGCAGAAATAATGACTGATCTGAGTGTTGGGTTTCCATCTTGATGGGTGCCAAGCTTCTCATGGCCTGGATTTGTTGGGGTTCCAGTTTTACAGGACCAAGATTTCTCAAAGAATGCAACTGCTGTGGAGGCTGTCCATGTTGATCATTGGTCACCTGTGGTTCCTGTTTCACGGAACCAACATTTCTCATAGAATGCAACTGCTGCGGAGGCTGTGCATGTTGATCATTGGTCACTTGTGTTTCAAGTTTGACAGGTCCAACACCACCTAATCCCCCCCGAATAGATTGATATTGCTGCTGTTGATGGTTGCTCTGAGCGGCAGAAAACTGTTGTAATGGTTGCTGATTATGTTGGAAGTTTTGAAGGTCGAGTTGTTGAGACTGTTGTTGATCTGGCAACATGTGGTTACCCGAAGGGTTTGGAAATTGCTGCCCCTGCACTTGACCCGACGAACCAGGGCTAACCATATTTGATGTTCCAAATGATGGAGGGGGAGTAAAACCCATTCCATTTCCAGCAGTGGCAATTGTATCAGACTCAGCTCCAGTATCAATAACTCCCCGTTGACTATTTCCAGGACCGGCAAGTCCAGAATTTGGACCTCCAGTTCCAAAAGACTGATGAAGGAGGGATGAAACATTGGACACATTGCCAAGCATATTTATGTTATTAAACTGAGTACGAGGTGATACAAGAGAGGGAAAAGCAGTCTGTGAAGACATTGCACCACCCTGACCAGCCAATAAACCAGAATTCGATCGCAGTAGAGAAGGTGGAACGGGCTGGGCACCACCAATTGGAGTGGATGGCCCAGATGGTACCATTTTTTTCCAAATCTTGTACAAACACTTATTCAAGCATAAACACTATCTAAAAGGACGTGAATTCCCACGGGATTCAAGTACAAAATAATTACACAACAAAACGCACGAAATTCTATTTCTTGATCAATCCAACAAGCGTAGACATTACAGACTCCTTATTGTGCACCAATAGATGGGAAAAGCCTTTGTGCCTGAGCATATGGTGTTGAATGTTACTAAACACAAGTCTGTTGTCAAAGAAAACCAAAAGCAAGCAACAGGATTTGATTGTGGACATCCTAGAATTGCCTTAACTCAGATAAAGGAACAATCTTCAGCTGGATTTCGGATGAATCTTTGCATAATTTGCCAGCTATTAGATAAACTTTACCCAGAACGCATTCTACAAGAAACAAACAAAAAAGGGGAGGAAAAAAAAAAGAAAGAAATCAAAAGAGAGCTCTTTTATCTTCCAATGCCTTCACAAAAGCGACCCAAAACCCTCAGAAGCATCAAAAGAACAACTCGAACAGAAACCAATCCAAAACTCCAAACTTCAAATACCCAACTCAAAAAAATCATCAAAATTGAACAGACAAACTGATAGGAATTCAAGAAATAACAACAAAAGAAGTAAACTTTACTATACTTCAAAGCTAAAATTTCAATATTTAGACTCCAAAACAAACAAATTCAGATGAAACAAACAGATTTTACAAAATAAAAACAAAACAAGCAGCTAAAAAGCGATAAAGAATCTCTCGATCGAGCCCTAAATCGTGCAATAGAAAGCACAATGGTCGATCCAGAACTTTAAAAAGTGAAAATCTGTGAAGCTTTGAACTTGAAAACACCAAACTCATAATAAAAACACTAAGAACAAGGCATGTGAGATAACGTACCAGAGCAAAAATTCAACAGTAGTGACTGAGTCTCTGCGAACTACGATCCAACAATACAGTCTACTACTCTCCTCATTCAACTTGGTCTCGTCTCTTGGCATTAAATATACACATATATTATATCTATATTTTTTCTAGGGTTTCTTCTTTGAATTAATCTTCGTTCAAAGTCTTTCTTAAATCACTAGAGAGGGGGGAAGAGAGAGAGAGAGAGTTTACTGTTCTTCGTTTTATATTTTAGAGAGAGAAAGTAGAGAGAGAAAGTGAGAGGAGAGAGTGTTCTCTCATAGCGGACGTCAAAATTGCATTCGATCTGATTGATATTTTCTTCATTCCTTCTTCCCCTTTTCTTCTCTGATGAAATGTGAATCAATGAACTAAAAATCTTCTATCCTCATTCCATGTTATATCATGTCATACCATGTCATGTCATGTATGTATGTTTGTTTGTTTGTTCTATCACCATGCATATCATTATTGTATCACCATCCTCAATTACACCCCTAAAACATGAAAAATGCTTGGGAGCATTAATTAGTGCTCCACTAATTAGGTGGCAGTGGGTTTCGCCATTAATGATGTGATGTTTTAGTCTTAATGAACTAAAAATCTTCTATCCTCATTCCATGTTATATCATGTCATACCATGTCATGTCATGTATGTATGTTTGTTTGTTTGTTCTATCACCATGCATATCATTATTGTATCACCATCCTCAATTACACCCCTAAAACATGAAAAATGCTTGGGAGCACTAATTAGTGCTCCACTAATTAGGTGGCAGTGGGTCTCGCCATTAATGATGTGATGTTTTAATCTTGGAGTTGTATTTTTTTTTTTTTTACTTTTTTAATGCATTAGTGCTATTAGTGGTGATATTTTTAATGGGATGAATCATTGTTGCTAAAACATATCTTCGCACCATCATTTTGATGAAAATGATTTGATAAAATTTATGGATTTGACTTTCATTTTTTTTTTCTTTTTTCTTTTTTTAAGTTGTCATTTTAATTTGTGAGAATATTTGAGCTTAATAGGTTTATTTTAGAAGTGATTCGATAATTTAAATTGTTTATTTTTGTTTACTCGTTAAGTATAATATTTATGTAAAAAATTTAAATAATTGGACATTGTATCCAAATCATCAAAACAGGACCTATGGTGGATTTTACGACTTCCTCAAGTTCTCTCATTTTGAGATATAAATATGAGACAAACCTAACTCAAAAACTATTTTGCATAATTTCAATCTAGTTTTTAAGGAATGGGTTTCTCTCATGTCCTTAATCGGATTAGAGAAGTGTTGTTGGGTCTATTGGACCTACTTTCAAGTCTTATTTTAATAATCCGAATCGTTTATATTTTAAGATTCGTTGAGTACATTATTTCTATAAAAAATCAAATCGATATGATAATAAAAATTACATGTTCAAATCAGTTTTATATAATAAAAAAATGAACGACAAGAAAAAAAATAAACAAGCCCAGTCCTTTTTAAAAGGGGAAAATATTATTTTTGTGGCAGGTGAGAAAAATATTTACATATTAATCAAAATTTTGTAATATTAAGGGGCTTTTTGGCAACACGATAAATAAGTTACTTATTAATTTATTTTGATCATATCATTTTTTTTATTTTTTTTACATCTTTTTAAAATAAAAAAAACAATTTTAAAAGCCAAACTTATAAAAACAAAAAAAAATCATGGAATTACATGAAATTGATATTTATTTTTGAACTTTATACTGATTTGGTATTTTTCCCCATTAAAAAGTGGGGGTATAATAATTCGTTTGGCACTTATAGCCTTCGTTTAGAATGTGATTTAATTTTTTTGACTTTTTAACTATTTTAATTTGGGGTTAAAAAGTCTTATTTGAGATAGATTTTTTGACTTTTTTCTTTTTATGAAAAAAAATAAAATGATTATACTTTGAATATGATATTTTATCTTATTGACTTTTTAATCTATTTTATCTTTTTGTGACTATTTTAGCCTAAACTATTTATGCCAAACATAGCCATAATAAGCTTGCTTTTTGTAATTAAAAAAAAAAAAGCTGGTGTTTGAGATTGATGATTTTCTGTCAAAATATCAAACTTCAGCCATTTCGAAAAAGCCTTTAAAAAAGTTGATCAAATTAATTTTATTTTTTTTACATTATTTTCTTATTAATTTATTTTTACCCAATAGTTTTTAGTTAACTTTCAAAATAATTAGGGTGGTTGTTTTTTGTGTCCATTTACTAATAATAGATGTGTTCCAATTACCTTAATCTTAATGTAAAATGATACATAAGTTCACTTTTTAAACTCACTGTCTAGATTTAGTGATGGATAAATTACAAATATACCTCTTGAAATTTGTTTAAAATACGAATTGCTCCTTATAGTTTGAAAAATTACAAATAACATCTTATCAAAAAAAATTACTAAATACAATTAACTGATAAATGAAATTTCTAACAGCTCTCCTAGATAATGTGCCTGTTTGACAGAGCTTAATTATAGCTTATTTCAACTTTCAGCTTAATTTAAACTATTTTGATGTGTTTAGTTTAGCTTATAGCTTATAGCTTATAGCTTTTTGGAAGTCAGAAATCAGCTTATTCTTTGAGTGGGGCAAGAGATGCTTTAAGAATAAGCTGAAAATCAGCTTAACCTGAAAGTTATAAGCTATAAGCTGTTGAGGCATAAGCTATAAGCACTTTCCCACAGCCCTACCAAACAGGGCCAATGATAAAATTATTTGAAAATAAATATCTAACATCATTAAAAATTATTAATTGACTTGATAATTTATTGATAAAATGGGTCACTTTTTATGAAATTAGAAATTTCGAGGGGCAGGATGTAATTTTCAAAACCACAAGGAGCAAATCGTATATTAACCAAATCTCAAGAGATGTATTTATAATTTGTTCATATATGATTGCCAAATGATTAGAGAATATATATACGAGAGAGAGAGAGAGAGAGAGAGAGAGAGAGAGAGAGAGAGAGAGAGAGAGAGAGAGAATATGGGGGAACTACAAGCAGGTGGCCGAAAGGAAAAAAAAAATTACCAAAACATGAGGGGTGTAAGTGTGTTTGTGGTAGAGTGTAAATAAAAGACTGTACCTTGTATTGGTTATTTTTTTCCCAATTCTTATCTACATGTGGTTTTCCCAATAAAATTATCTTAGCTATTATAATAGACTGTCACATCATTAGTTTGAAAAATATACCTGATTATTTGATTTATTTTAATTTATTTTTTTAAGTAATTACTTACCCTTACTATTAGGCACATAATGACATACACATTTCGAATAATTACTAAAGAAATAGTTTTTGAAGTGTATATAGTTTATTGGTTTGACATTTTTTTTTTTATTATTGTTTAAGAGAAAGTTGTTGCTGATAAATGCTAAAAAAGAATTTGGTTATTAATCAAGTTGAGTGAATTTTTTTAAATATTCTTTTGTTAATCATTATATTTTTTAGTTTTTTTTTTACAAAATAGCAATTAATATATTAGTTGTTATATTAGAACCCAGACTTAAATCTAGAATCTCACTCATCTTGACTCTTAAGTGTCGGCTCCATAATCACTTTGACAAGTGCCCTAGATCTATTACATTTTTTTAGTTGAAAACAAACATGCTTAAAATTATCATGTTACTTGGTGTCCAGTTTTCTAAAACACTTTTTAAAACATTCTACTTTTTTATTTTTCGTATTTTTTTGTTTTTATGGAATTTTTTTAATATTTTGAGTAATTTTTTTACTTTTTAGACACACCTAACATAAATACACCTAAAAAGTAAAAAAATTGTAAAAAAAATCTTTTAAAAATTCACTAAATGCCAAAAATATAAAAAAAAATACAAGAATTCAGTACATTTTTTGTATTTTTATGTATTTATTAATTTTTTAAAATATTTTTTCATAAATTTTTTACTTTTTAGATACATATCTACGTAAGGTGCATTTAAAAAAGTAAAAAAAATGTTTAAAATTTAAAAAATATTCACTAAAAACAAAAAAATACAAAAACTAAAAAAATTAATTTTTAAAAAATTTAATCCAAAAAACTCAAACCAAACACAGTAATTAGTTTGATTAACGAAACAGTAATTAAAAAAACATATAACAAACATATCCAAAAACGCATCACTTTAAGAACTTTTATTGCACTGCACTTTTATTTCAGTTTACACTATATATTTTGTTCAAATAACAATTTTGGATGAAAAATCATATATTTGAATATTAATTTGTAAACAAAGGTCAATTATTCAGATATTAAAGTAGCATTTGGCAACGTTTACGTTTTTGATTTATGTCTACAAAAAATTTATAAACCGGTTTTTATTTATTTTTAGAAAAACATAAATTACAAACGCGTTTGGTTTGAATAAAATGTTTAAAAAAATTTAAAAACATAAACTAAAAAATATGTTTGTTTAGGTCTAAAATATTTATATTTATTTTTATTATTTATGACAATGGCATCACACGCATTATAATTGAAAAAAAATTAATTGGAAAAAAATAATTTGAAAAAAAATTAATTAAAAAAATTAATTGAAAAAAAAAATTGAAAACTGAAAACGTAAACTCATTTTTTGAGTTTATGTTTTTTCCTCAAATTTATAAACTGAGACAACCATTTATAAACCAAAAAAATTATCAAACAAGTTTTTATGACAGTTTTTTAAATTTTTGTAAATATAAATTAAAAATTGAAAACGAAATAGTTACCAAACAGACCCTAACTGTTAAATTGAATTTTTGTACAAAAAAATTATATTCAAACAATAAAAACAATGCAAAATAAGAATAGTTTTATAGGGAGAATTCTCCAGTATGCAATGGATACCGTATGCAACCTTATCACAAAATTAAGTAAGTTTTTACCAATTTACATGAGTGATCTCACAAAAATATTTAAGTTAAATACAAATTCGTGTAAGTTTTAAGTTTTTTTAAATTTATGTAAATTTATATTCAACTTACATATTTTTATTAAATTAATTATATATTTTAAATTTAATTTGTGAAAATTTACATTATGTTATGATAAAATTAATATTTCTCTATTTATAATGTATGAATAGAATTACCGCATCACCGTCCACCGCTTTACACTTACGTGTAACGACACTCTCCTTATGTAAATTTACAGATGTACCCTTATAGGGTACACACAGACGGTTTAAAGGCTCCATTTGCTTCTAGGATATAAATGGTTGGATTAAATATCATATACCCTGTACCCTTAGACTCACATATCTTTTGTTTGTAAATATCATATACCCTGTACCCTTAGACTCACATAAAGCCGTTCTATAAAACTTACCTTTTAGTTTAGTG